GTCTCGCATACCTCGTCCCTGCACGGCGGCATACTCCTTGGCAGGCTATGGCTGCGCTTTTTAGTTCGTGCCACCAGGCGGTACTCCAGGAAGGTGTTCTGCGTGCCCAGCTCGAAGTCCACCTCTTCATCGTCTTCTCCTCCGGCAGCTGTAGCAATGTTCGCCACCGGCTCGTTAGTGTGCGGTGGCGGGGGAGGTGGTCCCGGTGGGAAGTCTCTGGGCAGCTTCTGCCGCTCCCAGCAGGAGCACAGCGATGCCTGTGCACCGCCCATGGCTCCGCACAAGCTCGATACTACCAGGAAACACGCCGTTTACGTTTGTGAATACGTGCTGTCACACACCTAGAAGACGAGGGCTGCCCGTTGTGAGAAAAATGCCCAAGGCATGGTGCATTGGAAGTTGTGTTGCCTTGGAGCACTCGATTTGCAACCGCCCAGCTGCCGCTGTCGTGTACCCCCAGATCCGCAAAAGATGCAATGCTAGCGTCAACTGAAAACGAAGCTCTGCAAAGCCAGGCCATCAATCAGCATCAAGTGGGGGGTAAAGTGGAGGTAAGGGAATCTAGGTCCAGGGGTGATGGTGGCAGCGGCGGCGGTTTTGGTTGCTTTCAGGTTTGCTGGCCAGTGATACAATGGAACTCACGACACGAACTAAGATGCAAGAGGAGAACCCCCCCCCTCCGCTGAATAATTACTGCTGGAGCTCAGGCAAGGGCCGAGATCGAGTCTTTCGAGTAACCCCTGTGCAAACGGGTGCTGCTTGAAAGCGACTGGGAGCTGCCATACCGGTAGGAAATGCTATGTCCTGCTGGCACTACAATCGCGGGAATGGCAAGTTGCCGTAGATCGGTGCACCAGGTGCCCTCTGCAACGAACTGCCGCCATTTCGACAAAGCTTGGGCAAAACTATCTCACTGCAGGTCATATACACTTCAGCCGTCTAAAACTCGTCGGACGTGAGCAACTCCGCGCCTCGAGGTGTGCCTGCAACTGCTGCTGCTGCTCGCCCTTGCGCTGCACCAGGGCTTCCAAAAGGCGCACCTGCAAACTGCATCTGCCTCACCTTCCTTAAGATTTCGGCGAATGAGTCTGAAACTGGAGGCCATCACGTCGACCAAGCCAACCCAAAAGCCAGATCTACGCGAAATGGTGCCACACGCACCTGCTCCTCTTGCTTGGCAACCGCAGCCCTCAGCTGAGCACCAAGTCCTGTCGGACAGAGCTGCGGCCGAATCTGTTGCTTTTTTCTTGGAATTTCTACGCAGAGCAAGCAGTGTGGTACCGGTAGACCTGCCTTGAATTGCCTCTCTATGTCTACCGAAGGGACCAGCTCACCAGGGCTGAGAAGCCTGTGAGGAAGCAGAAGGGCCTGCTCCTTCTTGGGGCAACTTGGAGGTGTCCTAAGCCCACTGCAGGCAGCTCAAGGGATCACCGTCAAGTCGCCAAAATGCCCTGTCCGTGGTTTTGCTGCTCAGGTCCCAGCAGCTTTACGGGCCTCGCAGACCGAAACAGGCTGCGCAAGCTTACCAGGGGGTCGCGGAATCGCTGGATGTGTGATTAGAGGCCTGGTTGATGAAGTCAGCCCATGCTTTTGCAGGGCCTGGGCCTGCAACCACCACTGGTGTTGAAGGACATGGATCACTGGATGACCTACTGTACATTTCTCGTGCCAGTCTGGTGGTAGAAAACCATCTTCTCCTGCCTTGTGCGAAGGTCATCTCCACGAGCATTCCAGACTGCGTCGCGCGGCGATTTCCACTCTCAAATTTGCCGTGACAGCTCGGCCAACCCTTTACCCCGTGCCTGGCTGGAGATCCTAACAACATTTCCATCTGCACCCGCCGCTTTTATGGCAGCCTCTGGTCACAAAGGTCGCTATTTTGTGGTGCCCAAGAGCCGTAATGCGCCGTTTGCAAGAAAAGGACCGCGAGCTGAGCTGCCCACAAATGGCGCACGCGTGGCCTCGCCCAGTGTCACCTGATGCACATGCAGCACATGCAGCTTACAGTTCGCGATGCGGCTGTCCGTGAATGTCGACATGTCTCCATAGAGAAACAGCAGCAGCTGGCTAGTCTCTCAACACAATGTCAAGGTGAGCGTTACGACAGCACCGCTCATACTCTGGCTACAGCACCAGAATGTCGCGGCAGATTGCTTGCGCATCTCTCCGAACAGCTTATCTAGTTTATCCGCGCATGTTACCACCGTTTTCTGGTACAGGCCTGAGCCTTGAAGCTTCAAAGACCCTGAATCCTAAACCCTGAACCCGAAAGTCCTAAGCCCTAAAACATACATGCCAAAATACCTAGCCCCTAAATCCCAGATCAAGGCCTAAACCCTGAATCCAAAAACCACAAATTCACAATTCCTTAACCCTGAACCGTAAAACCTGCAGCCTGAATCTCTAAACCCTTACTTTGCCCAAACCTCAAACCCTGAACCCCACAGTATAAACACCATCGCAACTCCGAGGCGATCCTTCTCATCGTCGTCCATGAAAACTTCGAAAAGATCGAGACATCCTTCCAAGGACACACACAGGGTGCAGTTGTTTCGGGTGTTGAGGGCTTTTCGGGGAAAAACAGAAGGGTTTAGGCCTTCGGGCCGTTCTTTCTGAGTGCAACAAGGGGCGATCTCGAAATTCGAGCTGACTGCTGGTCCATATAGCGACTTCGAACCAGACAGCCAGAATCCTACAGTATGCACGCCGCAAAGGGACCGTAAGCTGGACCTAAGACCTAAGATCAAGGATGCAGACTGAGGTTCCGTCCCAGCGTGAGGTTCAATGCCAGAAAGCGGACCTTGGCTTTAAGTCACTACCGTTCCTAGACTTCTTCCAGCCGTTGTTCGAAGACATTGGGTAACTGTGCCTGCTGGCGCAAGGTTGATATCGACAGATATACATTATATATGTATGTTCATGTAATATTTCTATAATTCAACAAGCAGCGCAATGGTCCTGTCAATGTCTTCACAAGAAGAACAAGGGATTGCAGAGCTCAACTATGGGCCCGTGCTTCATCGCGCCCATCGGGAAACACACAGCGGATCACCTGCAGCGCGAGCATGAGCGGAAAATCTCGAGTTTGAGTGGGACAGGCAAAGCAACGCAGATATCCCCAAGTTTGAACTGAACCAGACTATGCTTGGCTCTGCCAACCCGGGCATTTTGCACCTTGCCCTTCCGCCGCCCTGCAGCGACCTCGTCAGTGCTGCTCGAGTTCTGGGAAGCTTCAGCAATAGAACAGCGCGCCCTAGCTCATTGATTCCTCAACGCAACACCCAGCTTTTCTGCTGCCCGCCTCTTTGGCCATCAGCAGTTCATGCAGCCGCTCGCGCAGCTTCTTTCGATGCTGTACTACTCCATTCAGCGTGCTAGTGCTGTAGCGCAGCTGAATACAGAAGAAACAGCAAAGCCCATAGAGAGTTAAGTCGAGGACACGAGGCGTTTGTTGCAGCACCGATTCTCGTTTGGATCGCTGTCTCTTGATATGTGCTCCCTCAAGCCCAGCGGCAACATGCTAAACGAGGTCCGTATAAGTATTTGCAAAGCCGTCGCCCTGGTGTTTATTTCCAGAGGGTGTACTGCCCTCAGCTTCAGAGACAAAGGCTGCAGAAGCCTTCAGGTGGCTTCGGAATCTGCGCGTAAACCACAGGAGCTCCCGTGCCCAGGTAACAAACACACATTGTCCCATATTGCCTGGACATGTGTAGCAAAACACCATTCGCATGGCAGCTGCTTCTACCTAACTTATCGGATGGGGTGTGCGTGGGCTCAGCTACGTGGCATGCAGTCGCAACCAAACGCCGGTGATCTGTGCGTGCAGATCTGCCTTCCCGAATGAGCAGACTCCGGAGAGCGATTCCACGGGGTTGAATTTCCCACGGGGTTGAATTTCCGGTTGGGTTGCTCATAAACTTCTGGGGTGAATCACAACAGCGTGCGCACACTGTCTGTCCAAACGACATGACTGAGATGACCTATGCATGCAAAGACGTTTGTTGTCGGCACATCTCCTGAAGAGAAAGCTGTGCTTCACAACATTTGTTGTGGCACTGCACTACCGCCGCGGCGACAAGTAAGTCAACATTGCATAAGCTAAGTACACAACTACATTAACAATGGATGACGGAAGCTGCCGCAAGAACTTCTGATTTTGTAAGCCCTGCCTGTTGCAGGGGAAGGACGGTCTGGTCTTCATCCCGTCACTCCGAATCGTGCTGGGCCACGACAACGACATATCTGTGGGCTTTCAACAAGCGCCAGCTGCAGAAAATGGCCCTAAGCCCTAAACTGTCCAGCTCCAGTGAGGTCCAGCGAAAAGCCTGCAGAAGCTCACCAGTTCAGCACCTGCCCACAGCTTCTGCGAGGCACTGCAATGCAGCAACGCATGGCTTTGCAGGTACGAGTACTTCTCCACGCTGCAAGCACGCAACGTCCCACCAGCCTGATGTCTGCACTGATCGGCTTTTTGACATCGATGTCTTAGCATAACATATATACATATACATACACGTACACGTATGTATGTATGTATGTATGTATGCATGTATGTGCGTACGTATGTACCAGACTAAGATCTTTCCGCCCAAGCCTCTTCGCCGTATTCCTCCGGCCAGGTCCTGGGAGCCGCCGATGCGGCAATGTCCAGGTGGTCCGGCGCGCAGAAGCCGTGCCTTTAGTATGGATTAGGGTGTTACGGTTTCTTTGAAAAGCCCCTTTGTTTCACTTGTTTGCTCAAGGCAGCAGACGAAATCCGCTTTCTGGAAAGGGAGTTTAGCCAACACTGCTCAGCTTCCCAGAACCTGGAGCCCCAACTCAAAACCCTGCGTAACCCTCACGACTCTTCTTCTTGCCCTGACCCTGCTTGTGCATCTCATTCCGATCACCGGCCATGTCCAGAGTTTCCAGGCCCCCACCGGCACCTACACTCGAGCATCGTCGGGAGTGCAGCGAGGTCGGAGCTGCTTCCCGGCTAACCATCCAGATTGGATCCATTACGGAAGAAGGTCGGGGGATGGTACGGTTTAAAAGGGTCTAGGGTTTTTAGGGATTCGAGGCTATAGTTCGGGCTTAGGGTTGGTAGAGTTTAGGGTCGTGGGATAGGCTGTAGATGGCTGCAGGACTGCCCCGGAAGCCCGAGGTCTCTCCTTGAACTCGGGCAGCCTCTGTGGAGGGTATCGAGCAGAGCCACAAAAACATCAGATCCGGAACTCGACATTGTCCGAAGCTCAGATCCCGGCCAGAATTCTGGAGGATCTGGCTCAGGAGTCGGAGGCTTCTCCTTGCGACTTGGGGCTTTGCAGGAGTAGGTGAGCCTCTGCATTGGTGTGAAGACTGCAAACCAAGCAAGCACCAGTCTGGCGTTCGTGGTTGGCCTGTGCCTGTAAATAAGTCCTTGAGCTTTGCTGTTCATCCTTCCCCATCACATCTATTGCAGTTACCATCTCGATTGTAGTCGGGAGTAGTTGTATCGACAGCAGTCGTCGTCGTCGTCGTCGTCGTCGTGGTCGTGGTCCTGGTCGTCGTCGTCGTGGTCCTGGTCGTCGTCGTCGTCGTCGTC